CCCGCCGAGCCCCCCCACCACCGCGGCCGCGTTGGTGGCGCGCGACTTCCGGCGCGTTGCCATGGTTGCTACTGTCAACTTCCGTTGGCCGTGGGGTCGCGGTGAGCACCATGCCGGGCCGGGCGGGCGACAGGCACCAGCAGGTGAGCAAGGCCCGACACCATGGGCGTCACCGCAGCGTGACGTCACCGCAGCGTGACGTCACCGCAGCGCCTCCTGTGCCTTCCTCACATCGTTCCTAATGCTTCTGCTGTCCAAAATGAGCAATTTTCAAGTTACAAAAGGGCTTTATTGCCACAAGTTCAGAACCAAAGAGTGCATTCAGCCAGAGATAATGGAGATGTTTATGCTCCAACCATGTAGCCCATTAATAGCAATTATGACGTGCGCTAAACTTAGCTTGAAATGCATGCTTTGAATTTCAATTTCTTTTATTTTTAAAGTTTCCACATAAATATATTCAATTGTTTTCAGCAGCCATCATCTTAAATAGTCTGAAATGAATAGACTTTGTATTACATTTGAAAAGCTTAATTAATGTTCTGCAATTGCATTACTTTTTTAAAGCTCATAAAAAGTCATAAGCTGTTTAAATTATTTGCATTTTTTGACTTTTCACAGAACATTTAATAAAATTATGATCTCTCTTGTTATTACAACTCATTCTGTATCACCTCTCCTATATGTGCCTTGCACTCGTTAAAATCTCATTGCTGAATTCTGAAGTTTTGCCTGCAGTGGAGTTCCAATTCTTGCCAAGAAAATCTCTTTTGAAAATTATTAAGGTCCTGCTTCATACGTGTTTTTCCTCTCTGTCTGCGATCATAACGACACAGGAAATGAGCCTGCTGGCAGATTGTGAGCCCATTTTTTCCATGAGCATCACTTCTGTGCACTAACTCATCTCTTTCATTGCTATCTCTGTGCTCTTCATTCCTCTCTTCTATTTCCTGCACATTTCCTTTGCCCTGCCGTGCCTCTTAGTGGATCGCTCTTTTTGAGCTTTTTCTTCCTAAGATGGTTCTCACAGCCATGATAATTACTTGACCATTATCAAGTTCTTCCCTTTTAAGACATCACTTACAGATCCTTCTTCACTCTTATGGCTGTGTGTTCTTCAAATGATTTTGATCAGTGTTTTCTTTATTTCCCTGCAGGTGGTGGTTGTCTGCTCTTCTTCTGTGCCCCTCTTGTCTCCGCCTTTTCCTCTGATATCGGCTTCTTGCTTTGTCTTGCTATTTATTTCTTCATCCTGGTGACCTCATCTCCAGTTCAACCTCTGCCACGTGACCTCTCTTTATTCTCTTTGAATGGAATCTGCCCAGCTTTTGTATCAAAATATGTCAAAAGCTGATTTGTCATTACGCGTAAAGTCATGCCCTCCAAGGTGAATCATTTGACTTGCTCTAATCCTTAATGAGAAGTGTCTTTAGGTCATTCCTGGTCTCTGTTTGTGTTCATTTGGAAGGAATGTGCTTCCATGTTCAAAGTCTGTTAAAATAATTAAATACACTGGCTCACTGTGTGAATGATGCAGCTTTGTGTTTCTGATGCTGCTTGGTAAATGAGAAAACTTGTGTATGATCTGTATGTCAGTACCTTGGGGATCTGAAAGGAAGGAGTATATCCTTCCTTTGGGATCTGAAGTATGTTACAAGCAATCGAGCCCAGCAGTATCTTGGGCAGATGCAGAGCTATGGAAAGGCTTAAGCCAATACCCCCAAATCTAACTGAAGTCAGTGGATAGGTTATATTCTCAGCTTCTTTGAAAATTAGGTCTTGAGTATGACAAGCAACCTTCAAAGACGTAGTATTTTTTGGAATCATTGACCTGCGTGACCTGTACAAGAACACAGAAGAGCTGCTGGCAGAGCAGGGCACATCCCTGTGTCAACCCTGGGTCACTTTTGGGTGGCAAGAGGAAGTGGCCAACAGTTCTGAGATTTTTTAAAAAGAAGTTATTTTAAACGTGGCTATCTCAGATGCTGTTGGAAGTGCTGGGTATGCTGAATCCCGAGTTCTGTTCTTCCCTGTGAGGCTTCAGGAAAAGCCTGGTTTGAGCAGTGGGCCGTGCTCTGTGCTGCTACATACACCTGTGGCTGAAGCCCCCAAGGATGTGACTGTGACTTCTTAACTGGCATCACATTTCCTTCTTTGTCTGCATTTACAGCGTGGCTGTGCTGGACTAAGCACTTAGGATCACCCCTGGCTTTTAGCAATAGATAACTTGCACACTGTGAGAAAACATCTGAACAGCGAGGCACTTCTTGTTACACTTGGCATGTGGGCTTGGGCCTGCTGATCTATAAACAGTTTCTTTTTTGTTTAGCAAGTTGTCAGAACAAGCCAAGGAGATTACTCCCAAATGAAGTCAACAACCTTTTTTTTTTTTTTCTCCTGCCAGAAAGGCTTTAAGGTGCTTATTGGTTCTTAAACATGCATTAAACCATCTATGTAATATAAAATAAATGGTTCGTTTAGTGTCTCTCAGAAAGCAGATTAAAAATGTGTTGGCAAATAGCTCCTGAATTGGCATCCCTAGTGTGCAAGTGGTTGGCTGCTGCAGGGCAGCCTAGAAGTCATTTTGCTTCCTTTGGCTTTGTTTCGGTGCCCTATTTCTCTGCTCATTGTGTCACGCAATGGTTTCCTATAGAGACTGCTAGTATTCTAAACAAGAATAAAAAGCTAGCAGGAAATTATTAAATGGTTTTACTCTTATAACTGACTCCCCGCTTTACCTTCAGAATCCCACAAGCAGCGTTGTGCTTATTGTTTTTCAGGTTACAAATTAGCCTTTGTGTTGTTCTCTAGGGGAGGAAGGGAGGATAAAATCTCTGCTCAAGAAAATAAAGTACATTTAGCAGAAGTGATCTTTGATTAATCAGCCTTGCAGTCTGATTGTCTTATGCTGAGAGCTTGTATGGGGCGCAAAGAGGCTGTAGGAATGTCTCTTCAGTGGTCTTAAAAAAAAAAAAAAACACAAAACGCATAGCCTGGTTTTATCAGTGCCCTGTGATGAGTGTTTCATTAGTACATAACTGATTTTCAGCCCTTGGAAAATTTGCTTAATATGAACTGACAGTTCTCCTTTGAAAAGTAATCAACCTGCCTCATCCCTGCCTCTGATTTATCTGGTATTTTAAGCCGGGTCTGCAAACCCAGGCAGCTCAGCCCTCCTTGTGCTTTAAGCACAGGGAGGAATTTCCCCTTGCTCAAGGAGATTTTGTGCAGTGGGGTACCTGGCTCCTCACCTCATAGTGTGTGTGCAGTGAGCACCCACTAAAGCCTGTTGGGAAGGGGTGAGCTCAGCTGACATGCAGGAGGCTGCAGAGAGGGGTCTCTTCCTGACAAATGGCAACATCCTCACATCTCTGACTCATTCAGTCAGGGCAGGCCTTGGATGGGAATGTGAAGGATAGACACGTTTTTTCCTGAAGGATTTCTGCCATCAGGAATTGAAGATTTGAGCTGCTTCTTGAATGAACGCTTGCTCTTAGGAGTAAATCCCTGCTTCCTAGATGATTTAGTTACCGTCAGCATTGCCACTGACAACTCGGGAGCTATCTCTATCAGAGGATAAATTGTTGAGAAGTAAGACTGTGCAAAATATCTCTTAAAACACAAACAAACAAACAAATAATCAGAATTGCTTCAGGACTTGGAAACAGCTTCAGAGCTTTTGCTCTTTATCGAAGAAAGCAGGGACTGACAGCTCTGTTTTGTGTGAAATGAGTTAATAAGTCTCACATCAGCAGTTAGGAGGTTGTCACATCACCAGCAAAGACAGAGAATAAACATCACTGTTGACAGAATTAGCAAGAAGACCAAGGCTTGGGTGGATGGCAAAGTGTGTTTCTCTATTCTCCTATTTCCAGGCCAAGTTGGAAGCATATTGGGAGGCTATAATGTACTCACACCAGACAGCAGATCTCTCTGCTGCTTGCCTTCCGCTTACGCATTTCTTCAAAAAGGCGGATGCAGAAATAGGATAGCTCTTCCCAAATGCCAGCCTGATAATGCCCCTCGGAAATACAGCAGTGTCCTTTGGAAAGTAGCCAGGAATTCCTTCTTATTTTAAATTTACCATTTTATAATTAAAAGTTATTCAGAGGGATTTAATTTGCAGACAGCCCAAGCATGCTACTTAGAAATGCACTTAGAAAAGAATATTGGATAGCTCAAGCACAGCAACAGGAAAACTTCCAGCTGAAGGACTTGATTTTGCAACTATTTGTATCTCCCAATGACTTCTCTGCTTTAAGGGGAGTAGTGGGGAAGGAAAGAAAAGTTAAATGGAACCTAAACGAGCACTTTTCCTCCGTTTTCTTCTCTTCACCTGTGCTGCCCTGTTACAGTGCTGTATCTTTGTGCTTTATTTTCTAGCAAAGTCAATGTTTGGCCCAGGTGAGAATTTCCAGGCACTACTATCATAAATATGCCCTAGAAGAAGGGTACAGAAGAGGCCAATGATTTGAGCCTTATAGAGTCTTAATTTAGATATGACAGTTACTAAGTTCTAATTTCTTTTCACTGTGGGAATTATGCTAAGTCTGTTCATTTATTCCATGTAAGATGCAAACAGTCATCAGAGAAAGTCAGTTTTAGCATGCATGAGTTATTGCTTTGGCATTTTTTGCCATAGCACCTCTCAGTGTGGTCTGAGTTACGGTGATGACCTAGAAGTGAGAAACACCTTATAACTCTTCTATGCCTTCTATCTACTCTCTAGTTCCCTAGCAACAATGCTTTTTTTTCCCTAATATAAATCTCCCATAATTATTCACTCTTGTATTCCTGTTAATTATTATTATTGCAGACAGATATAGCAGCACCATTTCTTAAGAAGACGTATGATGACTCACGATGGTTTCTGTATTAAGACCATCTCCAGTTTACATATAATTTGCCAAAAATTAACTGTTTGATTCGAACTGTTGTTTGCTGGGCAGGTGTCTCACATAGGCTACATTTAAACAAACAAACAAACAAACAAACACCATTCTCCCAGATGCTGAACCATATAAGCCAAAATTCTGGTAGTCACTTGTTATGTGAACTCTGTCCACGCTCGTAAGCCCGGGAGAGCTCCAGAGAGGCAGGGAGCCTACAAAAGATGTGTGATTATGTAATTAATCAGTGTATCATCATGTCTGTGCCCAACGGGATGAAGCGAAGGTTGCCACAGCAACCTTAATTCTTCTATTTTCTAACTTCTGAATGCGTCTCTTTGTGATTCTGGTAATAGTCTGTTAGCTTAAGATTTTTTTTTTTATCTTGCTAATTATAAATATCAGCCAAAACATGCTTGAATTTTAGAGGTGTGTCTGAAGCCAGTCTTTGCTGTGAGGATCTTGCTAGCCAGCAGACAGCCATTATGTTGATTTACAGTTACCATTTATTTATTACATGTGTGGTGGATGCATTTGCAACCTGTTGTACCAGCACACTGTAAAGACGGAGCAAAGTACTAGTTCACACTGCAAAAGAATTACAACTTAAATAATACTCTTTGGATAACATGTTGATATAGCAAAGATGAGAATGTGGAGATGGGGGCCATCATGCTGGCAATGCACCAACTACTTGGATGCTGTTGAGGAGTTTTTACAGCTAATGTGGGAGAGAGAAGCGTCAAGGAAAGATCTGACAAAGGTCAGTGTGCCGGTTTGGAAAGATTTTTCTTGCAGAAAGCAAAGAAAGAAGACAAAGCGCAGCGATCCCTCCCCAGAAAAGAATATCCAGACTGCCTTTTTCAGCAGACAACACAGCTGTAGACACTGTGGTATCATTTGAGTGGGAGTTTGAGTTATAGCACATTTCGTACTCTTGTCTGACCCATGATTGCCTTATGTCTCACCAGTACTGGGCCAAGCAGAGCGGCAACCTTTGCCCCTGGCGGCTCCGGGATAGCACAGACAAACACTGTTTTCAGCTTTACCTGTTGCCCAAGTAGTTTGATGACGGCCGGTTGGTGTAAGAGGAGAGGGAGGATCAAGGAGGGAGCGGAGGAGCCGCGTCCTGCCGGTGCTGTGTGACCGCGGCCTCCCCGGGCCCTGCGCGGCTCTGGGCTGGCCGGCCCGGTGCGGAGGACCCGAGAGCAGGGCTTGGGCGGCCTCCTTGGGGCACTCGGACCCCAGCTCCTGCACTGTCACGGGGGGAGGTTGGTAGAGTCACGGATATTTATTCACTGGTGCTTCTTTAGATCATGTTATTTGAAATGTAGCAACTGCCAAAACCAGTTGCCCTCGAGTTGCCTTGCCTGAGCCTTTACTGCTGGATAAGTGATTTTATAGGCCCATTTATGGAGGCTAATAGTGAGGAGGCTTGTTTTGTGTTTAAAACTAGCAGTTCCCTTTTGATTTCAGTCTAAATTAAATTCTGCTCTGGAAGTCTATCTGAAATTTTGTCTGGTCTCACAGGTGCTCTGCCCCAGCCCATGGTGGGACTTCAAGGAAATGTCAAAACTCTTTATCTTCTCCAAGAGTAAAAACACGCCTGATTTCAAAGTGAGGCCCATTTTATAAGCACGGAGGTGTATGCCTGCTCATTCCCCATTCACTGTTTTTAACATGCCTTTTTCCTAATAAATAAAAAATGCTGACAGCTTGTAATACCACTAATATTACATGGCTTATGTTATGCAAAGGGAAACAACATTGAAATTCTCAGTCCCATCAACATTTTCAGAAGCAAATGTTTCTCTTCTGAATTCTTCTTGCCAAGCGTTAACAAGTAATGGGGTTACAGAAATGCGACTTGGGGAAGTAGGGTCAAAGTCATTATGGCTACGTAATTGTTTAATGCACAGGAAGCAGGTGGTAGAAGTGGAAATTTAATTTTTCTAATCAAGAGAAATCATGAGGGAAGAGTGTAGGAATTGTATAGAGACCCATGTAGAGACTCCATAAGGTATTTGTAAGACATATGGAAAAGGAGATGAAAATAGTAGCAAGATAAAGTAGACTTTCCAGTAGAAAAACTAGATAAGTCATATGAAAATAGCAAGCCTTGAATAGGTAGCGTTGAACATCAAGCAGTGGTTCTTTGCATTAGTATGTGGTTGTCCTGTGCAGCCTAAATATATATATGGATTGAAAATTACTGGGAGAGACACTAATCAGAAATAAAAAGATAGCATTTCTGGTTCAAGAAATCCCTGTTGGAGGCTGAAAGGGCATCCTGGAAAATGCTCCATAGATACCTGCTTTTGAATACTCTTGGAGACAGGTACTTTTCAAGGTGGACTGTACATCTGGCCTGAAAGGCTGAGTCTTACATTTTTCTAAAGAAAATGGAAAAACGTATAGGAACTTCCCCCACCTTTTTGTTTTCATTCCGACTTCCCATTTTGTAAACCTTCTGCACTCTCACAAATACGAAGGTTTTTTGTGTGTGCGTTTTTTTTTTTTTTTACCATCCAAATTCCTTTGCTTCTACTGACTGTCCCATTTGGTCTTCTGGTCGCCTGTGTACCCATCCTGTACCTTTTTCTCTTATTATCTCCATAACGTCTTTCTTTTCTGGCTTTTCCCACCAACACCAGAAGGTGTAAATAAATATCTCTACACTATTAATCCCACTTGCATCATCAGCTCCCAGTCTATTTTTATCCTTAAAATTTATCTTCAACTTTATGGAACATATAGATGTAAATTTTCTCTTAGCCTCTTCTTAGGGCATTCTCTTATGTCTTCTTCTTTCCTTGGTTTATCAGTTTTCTTTGACACAGTCAGACAGGCTCCTCTTCAAATAAGGCACTTTTGCTGTCTTCCAGGTTCTCTTCCTATTTGTCCCTCAGCATCAGAAAAGCATCCTCTTTGTTTCCTCCCTACTTTCTGTAAAGCTTTTGTAAGACATTGTCACCTTCTTATTCCTTAAGTTCCTTGTAAGCCCTCCTAGAAATACTCTGCAAGGCTCCCTGTACCCTTTTTCATTGTTTTATTCAAAGTCTATCTTAAAATTCATATTTATTTATTTATTGCTCTAATGCAATGAAGGGGATCAGCAATGATTGACTTCCTAGCTGCTCATCAGTGTTTTCCGCTGCCTTTCAGCACTCACTGCTCTGAATATTCCGAGGTAGTAATGTGCTGTCCCTGACCTCACCGTGATGAGCAAGCATTTGGGGCCAAAGCAGACTTTCTGATGAGTTTGAACAGGGTACTAGCATGCAGCATGCACAACATTTACGTTTATAACACATTAGCACCAACAAGGGTAGAGCACAGTGTTGCTTCATGCAGGTAAACTCCAGTCTTATATCTTATATTAGGAAAGTAACTGCTTTTCCTTCAAATGATTTATAGGCAAAGCAACGGAATATTTTGGCTTTTGAAATATGCCATTGCAGGAGATGTAAGCAAGCACATTCAAGTTTCATTATGCTTTGGTTATATTAGGAAACAAAATATTTTAGATGTGTTCTGTTTTGTTTTTCTCCAGGGCCAAACTGGACCCTCAGGAGGAAAGGCAGTACCGCAAAGACCTGCTAAAGCAGTATCCAAAAAACGGGTAAGATTCAAAAGCCAAAAGTTGTCTCTTACTTTTCCTCTGTGTCTGTGAGATAAAAACCAGAATGTATCTGAATAACGTCATATTTTATAGAATTGTTAACGTTACAGTATACTTAGCACTAAGGAATTGCTCTATATTTCCATGACGAGCTCGCTTGCCAGCAAATTAGAATAAAAAAATGGAAATTTAAACAAAGACACAATTTAGGTAAACTGTAAAATGGAAGGATTAAAAAAAAATTGTAATTTAAATTCTGAAGTATGAGCTGACATGGACTGTGAAAAAAAATGGCTTCTCTGGTTAAAAAATTCAAAACACAGCCCAGATTCATATAATTAACATACAAGTACAGTGTTAGAGAGAATAGTGTTAACTTCTTGACTGTTAGGCTTATCGTAATGTTTTTCATAGCCAGGCAAAGAAATGCATGGGGAGGCACCCTTATTTTATCTATCTTGCTCTTATACAGGGCCAAATCATGAGCTGATATAAATTCACCTAGTTCAGGAGACATGGATGGAGAAAAGCAAATTAACATCAATGCAGTCTTCTTTAAGCTGGCATGGTGTGTAAACAGCTTTTCACTTCTAAAGTGAAGTCACACAGCCTTGTTAAACATTCCTCTTTTGATCCTTTAAAAAGGTATTTACCTTTAATACAAAAATAATTTTGAAAGATGCTTACCTGTTTAAAACTTAAAAGTGTTTTAGTCAACATCTCAGGGAAAACGGCGCTGAACTGGCCTTGAATTATGCATGATAAATGCCCTACAAGCAGGTGTTCGTGTGGGTAACTGCATCACAAATGACTGTTCTGCTGCCGCAGTCTCTTGAGGATGAGCGAGCCTGACCTTCCTCCAGTTTGCCTCGGTTCTGTTTCCCTTTTCCCTTGTGGAAACTAGATTGCAGCCTGCAAATTTCCTTGGTGCTTGGCATATGCAGAATTCTCCATTGCTTTCAGTGACTGCACACACAGACACAGAAACCTGCTATTTTGTGTTGCTCTGCAGATAGTGAAGCTTTGCTGGGCAGCAGCACTAAGCAGAAGTCATGAGAAGGCTCTTTCTCCCCTTTGCCACTCAGGCTGTTTCATGAGCATAGCCTGGAGTGTTCCCACAGTCTGTGCTCGTGTCACTGCACCTACAAAGAGCCTTCGCTTGCACCCTGGCCTCACCGACAGCTGCGCATGGCCATAAAGTTTAATAGCCCTGAGAGAACGGTGCTTAAAGAAATGATTGATTTATTTTAAATCCACTTATTGCGCATTTCAAATTGAGAGTTCAAATTTCAGTTTTGCCCTGAGCAGCCAAACTCTTCAATTAGTAACTTGGTGTTCTAGCAGTTTATCTATAATGACAAGTAATTGAAATTCATCTCTGCAGTGATCCCCTGCCTATTAAAGATACTGTACCAAGACACCAACCCATGCCCATCCCAAGGAGACCAGCGCAGACCAGCAGGTCCGTGCAAGAAAGTGGTTAACGTTTCTCCAGAAGTCTCATCCCTGCAGTTATATGTCTTGAACTACTTTCTAAGTGTTGCTTATGTAATAGCACTTTAGAAGTAATTGTGAGTCCCTGGATTGAGTCTTGATCAGTTCTAAGCTATGGCTCATCTGGACTTAATATGGCCAAAAGATACAGAATTGCCAGCTTCTCAACTGAAACTCAAGTGAGGTTGCGTTTTGTTCCTGGAGTTGCTCGTTTTGTTACAGGTCAGGAGTTATCTTCAATCAGCAGCTCCTCAACCTGAAGGCAGACTCTCAGCTGTCTGCGTGCACCACTGAACTCTTGCTGGCAGCTGTAGACATTTAACAGTCTTCACCTCTGGGCCTGCCTTTTGGTCTGGTCTGGTCAAAGCACAGACGGAAGGAGAGGTGCAGTTTCCTCTTCCTCGCTGCACGTTGGGAGGGATGCAAGTGGAAAGCAGTGAAGTGGTCACAGTCTTGGTGCATTAATGGCCTTGTTGTTCCATTGCTAGGATGAAGACCTGTCCACTGAAGTGGGAGAGGGGCTTGATGAATGGGGAACAGCAAAGACTCTAATCAAACCTCCAGATCAACTGGAGTTAACAGAAGCTGTGAGTAAACCTGTTCCTGAAGTGGGCATGAGATGTATACAAAACTCCCAAAACGCAAGCGTGCCTCCTACCCCTTTGTTTTGAGGGGCAATCTGGCAGTGTGAAACGTCCTAGCACTCGTCCTAGCAATCCATTAAAAAACAGGAAAACTGGGAGGGCGTGCTTTGAAACACAGTGTTGGGCTCAGACAGAGTACTGCTATATGGGAAGTTCTTACTTATTCAACAGGGGGACGCGGCCAGGACTTCCCCATGCTGAAGAGGGCCCTGCAGCCATCTCTGAGCTCCTCAGGGGCCAGTGGGAGTCTGAGAGGGGTCCTGTAGCCGTTTCTTTCCAGCTTGGTTCAGTGGCATTGCAGAGTCATTCACCTTTCTGCCTGCAGCGGTTTTCCTGTTCTCCACTGCTGTTTAGCACTCTCAGAGGGTAGCTACCTCCCCTGATCAGGGAGTGAAAACAGCTCATACTAGTAAGCAGTGGCCAATTTTCAAGCATTGCCACTGAGCTTAATTTTTATTATATTTTTTTGGATTGCATAGCTTCAAAACAGGGATCGTCTTTCTTGACATATACAAGACTTCCAACATTTTGTAAGTGCTATCTTAGGTGAGCTAAAAACTAACGTGACCGTGTTTTTGGTCTCCTCTGAGCTAGGTGTGCTCCAGCTGCTGCTGTCGTGGAGATATCAGCTGCAAGTCAGGCATCTGCAGCAAACTGAACCTCAGGAAAGGGAACATAAAGGACCTGGTGATCCTCTTATGCTGTATGTAACATTAACAGTGGAATTTCATTTATGATACTATTTTGTTTCCGTTCTGCAGGAATTAAAAGAGGAATTTACACGAATTCTGAGAGCCAATAATCCCCACGCTCCCCAGAATATTGTCAGATACAGCTTTAAAGTAAGTGTAGTATCACCTGTAAATTCAAGATGAGTTTTTTTTTTGGTCATTAGCTTTTTTTATGTTTGTTTTCTGTTTATAAACAAGTCAATTTCCTTTTAATGTGGCTTCATCTTGCTATATGGTTTCTAAAGTGCTTTTGCAGAAGATGAGAGGCTGAAATCATTGACATATTTATTATTCAGAAAAAGCAGATTAAAAAAATACTTACTAGGTTCTGGCAATGAATATAATTAGTGCAGCTAATCTTGGGCAGAAAGTTTTTCCATTCAGTGGAGGAGAAAAGCCAATGCTTTATGCAGTGAATAGGGCATTCGTGCTTCAGTGTCCTCACATCAAGATTTGGTTGTTTGAATTTTAGGAGTGTTCAGAAACGTGCTCTGTGAAATCAGTGGCAGGAGCTCCGTCCAGGATGAGGGGGTGAGCAAGGGAAGGTGCATCAGTAACTGCCAGGGAAATCCCAGGAGTCCGACCTTCACATTGCAGAGCATAGGCAGTGTTTTCCTGGAGCAGTCCTCCCTCCTAGTTTGCACAACTAACAACAGCAGCTGCTGCAAGGAGGGAGCGTAAGGACAGACCTGGCTCCCATACTTTCCTTGAAAGAGTTGCACCCCACAAAAAAAATGAGAGTGTGCGGGGACAGTTCTTCAAGCTCTAAAATTGGATGATCTCCAAACTTAGGCAGAGACTAGACAACTGTCCTGAGCCTGTCTCCTTTGCCACTTTAACAAGCTTGACTGTTATGCTAGATCAGGAGAGAGAGGATCTGTGGAAGCAGATAGGGTCAGTTTCTCTTCTCTTGCAGTTGGAGTTTTCAATATTTGTGAGATGGAAATAGGTGATGAACAATCCTTATATTCAAATCCTCAATGGCTGAAGTGGACTTGATGCTATGGTGTGATTGGTACAGAGAATGGTGGTGTTTTTAACAGAGACAAATTAGTGAATCGTCTGAGGTTTGCAGCGGCTTCTGATTGCATTTAGGTGAAATTCAAACTTTTAAAACATGGTTTGAGCCTAGGTTGATGTCGGCACTATATAGTGGTCTACAAGCAGATGCCAATCAAGCTATTTTCAAAAAGCTGAATTACCTCAGTGCTAACTACCCTGGGCACCAAGCTAAGGTCCCGTGCTGTCTCCAGGCCAGAACTGCTGCCTCTTAGTGGTGCTGCTCTTGTATCCGTATCCATATCCATATCCGTATCCATATCCATATGAGGGCTCATTTAGGGATCTCAGCTCAGCATTGGGGGCTTTTAGTGATTGCTGTGCGGTAGAGAGGCACCAAAACTAGATTTAGACTCACTTGCTGTGGTCCTGGGGGAGAACCTGCTGCTTTTCTTTGTGTTTTAAACTTCTGACTCTTAATGTCATATGCTGGAAGAAATTCAGTGTAAATAAGTCAATCACAAATACATATTTTTCAGTATAGAACTTGCTTGGCAACTGAGGCTACAGAGTATTTTTGGCTTAAAATCACATATTCTTTCTCATGATTTTGTTTTTCCTCTCTGTAGGAACGAACATACAAACCAATAAGCTATGTGGATCAAATGGCCATTCACTTCTCTATGGATGGAAACATGATACTCAAAGATTCTGATGAAGGCAGACGGCAGAATGCCAGATCAAGCACTGAAGAAGGTAAATTTGTTATTTGAAAACACAGTCGTTTTTAGTTAGCCACTGGTATCGTTCTTTTTTTTTTTTTTTTTTTTTAACATGATGGAATGATAATGCTTCATGACTAGAGAATGGAATACCTTTAGTTTTGGGTTGTTTGCTTCTTTTGAAAGAAAAGAGTAAAAAAGTTCTGCTGCTTGCCACAGCACAAAGACTGTGATTTCAGAGCTAGATTAACACCATCAATTGAAATTTTCAGAGCTGTTTAGTGGCTTTTAAATAGCTTGCACTAGAATTATTTAGATATACACATCTAAATATTTATCCTACTCTGAAAGTTTCATTCATGAACTAAAGTTTGAGGTAGTCTTAAAGCAGAAATGGTTGGCAGCTGCGTGAGCATTCAGGAAACCGTCATATACTTGTTCCATTCTTACACTTTCTCCAAAGTATCTACTTCTTGACAAGGGGAGATATAAGATATTGGGCCAGTTGGAACTTTGACCTGAGCTAGCATGACCACTTTTAGTTTTTTAGTTAAGGAAGTTACCTTAATTCAGAGGCTCAAAAACTGGGTCAGTAAATAGTTCTAGATTGTATTTTAATCCGGGAAAGATGTACTATTTTAGAGATTTTCTCATATTCTCACATTTTATGAAAGTAGAAGTTGTGTCACAAATACTGCCTTGAGAATATTTATTGCTTCTGGCCTCAGAGGGTCAGTGGCTCTTTTAATTTACACTTAACAAAATGTGTGTGAGGATTTGCTAAGTGGGATCTGTAATGCCACAGAAGCATGGATTGTTATTGCTGGCAGTGCTTGTTTTCATAGATTCCAAGTTAACTTGTTAAAAGTAAGCTTACAGCTTGATGCTATTATGACTGTGCACTCAGGGCTATAATTGGAATGTGCACATCCATCATCTTCTGACCTAGCTAGTATGTTCCTTTTAACTGTATAAGTAAGAACACACCATGTTACTGCTGTTTTCTATTGGTCATTCTCTGTGGTTGTGTATGATTACAGCCATTTTTGCAGGGCTGAAGGTCCAGAACTGAAAGCAAAGCCTGAAACAAAACTACCCGAACAAGTAGTGAATTTCAGAGATTTGATCTGAGTGGAAATCAGAGATTTGATTTCAGTTCAGCTAGCATTACTGCAGTATCATTATAGTAATAATACTGTCTCCTTGTGTGGCTTTGAGCAAACCATAACCCTGCAAAATGAGAATGGATTGTGGTGTTAATTAATGAGATGTAATTGGAAAAGGATGTATCTGTAGTAGTGCTTTGGAGGACAGAAGAGTCTGCAAAATGTGTCCTATTGTGTAGGGCTTACACACTTATCTCTTCCTTTATCAGAAAAGCCTCCTCTTGAGGATTCTGCAGTAATACCTGAAGAAGCAGAGATTAAAGATGAAGAAAGCACAGAAGATACACAGGTAATTTTCCATAGTTAACTGAGAGATGCTCATCTTATTTTTAATATTAGATTTGAAAATCACTTTATTATAAGACGGACTGACTTAGAAGCTTCTGTAATTGATTTCTTTATGCCTGAGATGTCTCTGTTGAGATCCTGCCAATTCTACCAAGTAGTCAGGGTCCTCCTTCTCTTGCTTGGTTTGGAGGAGCTGCACAGAGGGCTGGGAAGTCATTGCATACCAGGTCTATCTTCATCCAGAACTTCCACCAGGATGGACTGTAACTTTCAGGGAACTGGAAAATTCCCGGACAACCTATCCATCCCTGAAAGGGAAATTGGGCAAAATCTAGATAGGGAGAGATGAAAGCAGCAGGTATAGCTACCTGAAATAAGCACTGACTTAAAGGTAGTTGTACGATCAGAAAGGAGCTTACTGCAAGAAGTTTGTTTTTACACAAACTGTGTTGGGCCCTGGAATCAAAATCTGACTAATTTCAAATAAATTTGGTCTCTTTAATAAAGGAAATGAAAACATGGGTTATGGGACTGAAATAAGTTTTTCTGGATCTTCGGTTTCTTTTGTCATAGGCAGTCATGCCATATTACCCCATTCATGTCAGGCTGTGTTTTAAAGCAACTATCTGGTAGCCAGATATCTCTAATTTCCAATTAATTTACAGTGATTTTCTTCCAGTGTCAACTTGTAGCTGTTTGAATTTGTGCCAAGATTGTCTTCTAGCTGAAACAGCCATTTTCTAGCATACCCCAGCCTGTCCCAATGTGTTTCTACAGTATGTATCATTTCAGCTAGAGTTGGACTTGGTTGAAAGAAAAATTATTTGCTCGTTTTATTACTGCCCCCTCAATCTTCAATAATAATCTCATCTGCTAGACAGCAGAAATCCAGCAGTCTGAGCTAAAGCCCTTCTGAAGTGGGGAAGAGGTGTGTGGTTCTTCCAGTGGAGAGTTTCTGCTCTACTCTCTTGCAGGCTGCAGCAGAGGAAGAGGCAGAGGAGACAGGAACAGCAGAAGTAGCCAAAGCTGCAGAGGCAGAAGAGCCTCCTCCCCCCAGACCAAGGGAGCGCAAGCTTGCAAACCAGTTCAACTTCATCAAGAGAGCTTCAAAGATGCTCAACAACCCCTTGTGGGTACTCTGCTTCTGCCCTTTCCTTCAGGGGCTGGGAGGAGCCTTCCCTTGGGAGGATATGTAGAGCATCTGTTTTTATGTCGTGTCCTCTAATTCCTGCAGATACTGTTGAGAAGGGAAAAAAAACAGTGACTAACTATGGTAAAACATTTGGGGTGATGAAAAATTCTTGCATCATGGATTCTTGGGTATCCTAAAAGAGGTTTTGGTGCTACTGTAAATCCCTACACCCCTACCTGATTATAGCACTTTTCATGTATCTTTCCTTAGCAGAAAAAGAAAGAGGATAGACCAGTGGTTAGGGGAGTAGCTGAAGGCTTGGGATCCTTAGGGAGTTCATTTTTCTTTTGTCACACACGCCCTGTACAGCCTTGTACTTTGATTTTTATCTGCAGAGTGAGGATATAAGCAGCTGTTTATCGCAAGAGGACTGTGAGGATAAAGGTGCTAAAGTTTGTGTTAAGCTCAGGTACTAGAGCATTAGGCTCGCATAAGGCTGGCAGATGTTCACTGCCAATACACAGTACATCTCCCTTCCCACTCCATGTCTGGGCTTTGTGGTCAGTGCAGGCCCAAGACCTTCTGCTCCCCATACCTCTTGCTGGGCCTGTGGATCTTCCAAGGGAGCCTGTCTTCCCAGGGCCCTCACAGAACAGTCACGATGATGTTTGCCCCCAGCTGTGAGGTCAGACGGCAGGTGCCTCTGAGTCTGATAGATGCTTCGGGGAGAAAATTCTCCCATTTTCCTTGCTGCCTTGGAGTCCAAATCCATATGGTTTCCCCGGCGAGCCTGCTTGCCTGCTTTCCAGACGTTTCACCTAAGGTGAGAGCCTGCAGGACTGATGAGCTTGGAGAAATCTAAGAAGTATGGTGCTGCTGGAGTTGCTGTCTCCTAGAAGAGGAGTCACCAGTAGGGATTGGGGATCCGAGGAGAATTTATGCACTTGCAAAGTGCTTACTTCAAATTCTGCATCTTTTAAAATCCCTGTAGACGACACACAATCCCTATAGAGGACATACAATTTGTTATTTCTCTTTAAAAAAAACTAGTTCTGCATCTTCCTTTCCTTTTGATAATGCTGAAAAACACCTGAGTGCCTTTGAAAGCAGAAAGTAGCCCTTAAATAGCTGTCAAGCACTGTTGTGGCTGTGAAGGATGTGCAATTTCCACCTCAGACTACTGTATTTCAGGGGCCAGTGAGATGTGACAGGCAACTTCTTCAAAATATCCTGACACAATATTTTTCTGAAAGAAAACACTATTCCCCCAAATGAAAGTATTTCACAGAGATTTACTAACTTCATTCCAATAATTGGTAAAAGGGTGATAGAAATATTGTTTCAGTAAGATCAAATGATTTGTTTAAAGGTTATCATTCTGTTCACCTCTTTTCTTTTGACTCTGTGGTGTCCACGTGGATTTTTAATATATAGGTCAAAACTTTTACAATCTGGTAGAGTATTTTAACAGGTAGTAGAATGTTGCTAAGCATTTGCTAGGCAGAGCTGATGCAAAGCATTTTAGCACATTGGATGCTGAATTCATGCAATCAATATTTTTCCAACTAAATGCTGTGAGAAGTTAGTTTCTGCATCTAGAACTGCAAAGAGTTTGGTTACACTTTTTTATGTTTTTTCTTCATTCAGGACAGAGTGTGTCAATCGGAGCCTACACCTTGTAAAAATTTTTCAGCTACTGCTAATCAGGTATCTGTTTTTGGCTTTATAAGCTCTTTTAGTGTATACTTAGGAGAATGAGATGGGAGAAAGGAGAAACTAAATTGCCATGTTTGTATTCCTTGCACTGGATTGTGCTCAAATACTGTGGCTTTGATCTCTGGCTTAAATCTGAGAACAAACTAGTGTTGCCCCCTTCCCTGCCTTGATGGAAGGCCCACTTGCAGCCTTTGAATTAGACTTAATTCCATTTTAGGTAGTGGGAATGTGCCTGTTTATTCATGATAAACATCTGTTCCAAAACTGTTATTCAGTATTTATACATCTCTTAAAAATATGTGTGTATGTATGTGTATATATATATTAAAAACATATATATATATATAAACTTTTTACAGGTGAAATATGTAGATGGAAAGGAAATCCAATCAACTCTGCTGCTTCCCACAGATACTCACAAAATGCATTTGTGTTTGTCACTGATACGAATATTGACTCAAACTATTTTATCTGTTTATTGTACCAGTTGACCACAGAAACATCCATGAGAAAAGGATTACCTGTTTTTTTTCTGTGGTAAACTAGTATAATGTCTTTAAAAATGAGATTGCCAGAAGGTGATAGGAAAGGAAGGGGGGGGGGAGAGTGTCACAGTTAAGCTGAAAATTGTAGCTCAGTCTATTTCTGAACTTGAAATCACAGTGTAATTAACCTAAGATCTTCCTTCCATCCAACTGGAGTTGGAGTTTCCTTTTTTTTTTTTTTCTGACACTAAGATGATCTGAAAGCTTGAGAAAAATAGAACTGTTACGATAAGAAGCTATTGTTAAAATTTTGCATGAAAGTGCCTGAAACCTAAGAGGAAAAGTTTTTCCTTGTTTTCATTTTATTCTTTTGAATATTTGAATGAATATGTTAGTATTTTAACTACTTTTTTTTTTCTTCAACTCTTCTTTCTTCTTTTTCTTCCTTATGCTTGCATATTCCTCTTCCAAAGTTGTCTGTTCTGCTGCTGCTCCCATTCTTCTTGTCACATCTTCTTTGTCCTTTCCATGATGTTTGGAACATCCTTACTTTCCATTTCCACCTGTAAATTTGTAACACAATACATTTTTTTAAATGAGTATTTCTGCTATCTTTCTTTATGTCAGTGTTTTAGTCTTCCTTTTGTGTTTGAATCATACACCCTCTCCGAAGCTGATGTGTCAGAATTAGATTTTCTTTTGTTTGTTTCAAAAGTAACATATCTGCTTCATATTGTATTAGTGCTCCAGCACAAATGAATTAATTCTTAATTGGAAAAATTACTTACAGATCTATTCAAGTAAGACATTTCTGGCAGAGCAGAAGATGTAAAACTGCTCTCAGTTTCCGTTTGATCATATGTTGCAGAATTTTGTTGCAGAGTCAAAGATTTAAATTGTGTTAAGCAGCTACAATGTAATTTTCCAACACCACATGAGAAATGCATAAGCATAAGGCAAATGATTAATGCATGTTTCCTGATTAACACTGGTAAAATGGCCCAAGAGGGCTGACAGAATATCCTACGGAAAAGATGTAGATGTGAAGCACAAAGAAGGGAGTTGGGGTAAGGAAATAGCTAAGAATGCGATACTGACTCCTCAAAAAGTTAGGCATGCCCCATGAAGCTTTAAAAATACTGTCTCTTGACTGATTTTGGACTGATTCCAGGGGGAGTGCTACTTTCGTGAATATTGTCATGTTTTTGTGATGGTGCAGACATTTGTTTTCTGGAGTATAATCAGGTCCTGTAAACCTTGCCTGTTTGTCTTGCAATGGGAGATCTATGATGCCTATGTGGAGGAGCTTGAGAAAATGGAAAAGTCTAAAGAGAAAGAAAAACCAAGAGCCCATGTAGCAAAGAAAGAAGAGAAGAGGAAGGATAGAAAGTCAAGTTCCCTGGAGTCACAGGTACTGCCAGGTGCACATTTTATAATCTGGCAGAAACTCACCCAGAGTGCAAATTAGGGGAAAGTTAGCAACTCATGTGGGTTGCATAATTAGTTCTCTCAACTGACATGTAATGGTTCTTAAGAAATGCAGAAAACACTCATTTATTTTGCCAGGAACTGTATTTCCCAAACAGCATTTCCTTTTTCTAGTTGCTGTATTATTTTATGAAAATGCAAAAAAGTGACACCATAATCTTGACTTTAATTTGGTTTCCAAATGGGATTTGTGGGTCTCTTCTGGTGTGCATTATCAATTTTGTGTTCCATTTTTGACTAGCATGTGAAGGATAATAGAATGAAGTAAGTAGAAACAATGTCTGAGTTTTCAAGGAGTTCCAAGGGATTTAGCTGTTTGCCATAATTTTCTTCTTTGCAAGTCAAAGAAATTGTGATCCTTACAAAATGTTACTAAAGCAATATGACACATTTGACTTTTTAGTATGATGTTGTATAATTATCACTTATGATTATATACCTATAATATCCATATGTGCTTTATATGAAAGTTATTAATAATTATTGAGATCTAAGCCTATGTACACAAAATTGAATAGTGGCTGCTAGTCTGACCTTTTTGAGCAGCAGGTATCCTAACCCAAGCTCACAACTCAGCTGCTGCTGTGTGTTTGCTGCCAGGCTGGCACTGGCTTCTCATCCAGCACTAGTTGCGCTCTGCAGTTGCACCACAGTCCATGCTCCAAAGTGACAATGAACCTGTGTTTAAAATGTCGTCCCACTTCAAGCACCGGGAAAGCAATAACAACCTCTAAAGACTTGCTTCATGTTCCGGAATGTTTTCAGGGGATTCAGGAAGTTTTCATCAGGATTTGATCTGTTCAGAATGGTGGGTGGTTCTTTTCTTCCTCTCAGTCTGAGTTAAACTATTTAGAAGACAAATTGAAGTAGTTTTTGCAATGACTGGAGCTAAATGCAATGAAAACAATGATATAAAAATATGAAAATCAAATCTTAGCTTGCCACTTGAATGAGTATAGTTATATCCCTGTAACTATGATGTACCTCTGTATTATATGCTGGCTCCCTGAAAATGGTGCTCTCTGGGAATAAAAGCACTTTTAAAGCAATACATCTAAGTTGGCAGTAGAAGATTTTGCTGGTTTAGCTACCCCACTATTGCTCTGCTGTTGGGGCCTTGTTGGGGCCTTAGTAAGAATATAAGAAACTGGAGTAATGGGATTTACCCAGAACGCGTGTTCGCGGGCAAGCTTCAGCGGAACTGGACCGACGCCTGGGAGACCTAGCAACCAAGCACCAATCGGAGGAGGAGGAGGAGGAGGAGGAGGAGGAGGAGGAGGCGAGGGGGAGCAAGCGGTCTGCCATCAAAAGCCTCTTAGTGTAAACAAACCAGGAACATATTCTACAGGCTTCTTTGTGTGAATTGTGCCATTGAATTTCACAATTCCTTCTAAAAGTAATAAATCACCTGAGTAAGCGTTGGAGAATTAAGCCTGAAGTCATCAATATAATTAAGGGCCTAATGGATGGATTGCTAAAAGCTGATTGTTAAAAAGAAGTAAGAATTATACTGGAGATGTTTCCTTGTAACAGGCTGCTGCTGCATGCTCCATTGACAACAGTGGGAAGCTGCAAACTGTGCACCCATGATCTCCCCTTTGGTGCTTTTTCTTCTTAGCCCCTTCCAAGGGTGATTGCAGGGAAGCTAAAATGTCAAAACACTGTAAAAGTGAAAGGAAAAGCTTCTTGATGAGGAGCCAGTCTTCAGAATTGGGACTGATTGTGAGAAAAGCCTGCTGAATTTCCCACTCATTAGCGCTGGAGCCATGCAGCTTGCTATAATCCCAGGGTAGAATCTGACTTACATCGAGTATTACATCTGCTCATGTGTAAACCTCTGTAAATAAGGGTGAGTGGTGTCAGAATCTGTACCCCACTCTCAAGTCACCAGATGTGGAAGTAGATTTTGTGGAACTGCCAACTCATATCTTATAAATTTTGGGCTGTACGTATTAATTATAACAAAGATAACCCGTCTCAGAGGGCATCCTGCCTTTGATCATTGCTGAAGGGGATCTGTGGAACATCAAGCAGGAGATGTACAAAGGGCTCAAATCAAGGATGCCTAGAGGCTAGAGGGAGCAATTAACATCCCAAGAGCTTAAAGCACTTATCCTGATGCAGAGCAGCTCCTCTTACCCCGAGATTAATGAAATCACAAGTCTGATAGCGTGGACCTTTAACAAATCTATTAAAAGAGGAGTGGAACTGTGCAATTGGAGAATAACAGAGTATATGTAGAAAGGGTAAAAATGGTTCCATTAATATGACCTTAGTATTAGAATTAATTTGT